CGGGTTTTGACAGGTCTGGACGGTCTGACATGCCCGATGGCTGTCATTGGTTTACATAGGGTTACGGGTTTAGGGGCTTAGTGCATTGTAGTTGCGAAGTATTGACGTAGACTTTGGGCTCAGGGTGCAGGGAAACCATCAACCTCCATAAGCCCTGAAGCTCACTTAAATCCCTAAAGCCTAAACCGTTGTTGCGCTCAGGCCAGGGGACTTCCGCGCATGCGTTTCACACCCGGCTGGTCGACACGTTTGCCAACAAAGTCTGCGTCGAAGTCTTCCACGTGCAGGCCATGGTCGGACCTCTCTTTTCTGGGTTTCGGGTTTGGTTTAGGGTTTGGGTTGTAGTTTAGGAACCGAAATGCCTGTCTGTCAAGGGTTCTATACGAAGAGGTTCTCGGTTCCAAGGGTAGGATTCCGTTTTTGTTCATTCTGGAACTATGTCCCGCATCAGGTGTTCCTTGTGTTGCAGTTGCTGTTCCCGTAAAGTTCTAAAGTTTGCACGAAACCCTGTTCTAATTTGTTTCGATCCCTGTATCAAAGAGGGTTCTGCCCTAGCGGATGAAACTTAGATTTCAGGGTTTCCTCCTTCAGCTTTTGTGGCCACCCCTGCGGGGCTTTCACGCAACCCTGAACCATGAACTTTTAAGCCATGAGCCCTATACCCATAGGCTCCTTAGTAGTTCCTTTTTGGGATTACCTTATAGGATTCTAAATATGAACCATAAACAGGAACTACTTCGGAGCCTATGGGTAGATCCTGAAACGCCTGCATGCGACCCCTGATCTTAGGATTGAGAGGGGCCTAAGGTCCCCATGGGTTTCGGGTGTATTCGGGCTGCTGGACAACGTGGCCTGCTGCAAAAAGGTATGATTAGGATGCAGGTTCCAAACTTCGAGCTGTGAGCAGAACTTGACATGGCCTGCGTTTCACCAGGTTTGGGTGTTCGCTGCAGGCACCAATTCCCAACCAGCCAAGCTGATGTAGTTGATATTCGAGGCTGTCGGTTGTAGTAACAGTAGTTACGAAGCGATGTCAAAATCCTTCAGTGACTGCTCTGCTAGGCTTCGTGCCGAAATCGCACCTCAGTGGGCTGCGGTAGGCTTCATGTTAGCAGCTCCAGTTCTGCAGCCGTTTTGGCTGGAAAAGCACAGGAGCAGCCTTGCTTAGCTGTCAGACGTAGGGCGTCATGGCTCCGTCCCGACCCCGGGGTTCTCTTCATCACACGCTTTTGATTTAAGTAAGCTTGGTCTTCGACTATTTGTAATACTGTAAGCGTAGTAAGAATACTGTCATTGTTCTGAGAACTCTTCTGGTTCTGGCGTATTTTACGGTGACCAGGTTGCATACTTAACGTCTTAATCTTCGTCTTCAGGGGATACCTAGACCCTTAAATGTAGTACCTTTTTTGGTTACCTTAGTTTCTTATTGTAGGATCCTAACCATAAAATAGGTCATGCAATAAAAGGCACAACATTTAAGGGTCTAGGTATTGGGGAACCAAGGAACCTCAGCAGCTTTGGCCGCTGGCTCGGCGACTTTGGCTTTCCTCGGTGCCCGGGCACTGATGCTTTGTGCTATAGGTCCCTCAAACCCTTAAACCCTAAGTCCAGAAAGGAAACATAAGGGAAACATAAGACCAACCACGAGATCTGGGGTTTAGGCGTTAAGTTTCAGCCCCCCCCCCCCCGCTCAACCAAAACAGCTAAACTAACGCCAGAGCGGCTGGTACTTCAGTGATTGAGGGAGGTAGAGGGGCTCTGTAATAACGTACCCCAAACCCGTAATCAAACCCTAATCCCCGACTTGCTTGAGCGTGAGAGCGTAAACCCTATAAGCTCCTAATTAAACCCCAAACCCTAAACAACCTCAACTCTAAACCCAAAACCCCTACAATACAACCCTAAACCCTAAACCCCTATACCGAACAGCACTAAGGTGCCCAGGCCTTCACCGCAAGCCCCAGCGTGGCCGCCGAGGGCCGTCAAGCCTTGCGCAGTCGCGGTCAGGCCGGCGAAATAGGGTATGGGGTTTAGGGTTTGGGGATGAGGGTTTAGGGTTCATCTTTGAATGGTTAGGGCCTCGGGATCTTAGAAGGGTTTCTATAGCCCAGGGCGAGGGAGAGAGAGAGAGAGAGGGATGTAGTAGAGGGGCCTTAAAATGGGAATGGGTTCCTTTAAAAGTGTTCTATGAGAGTTACTAGAGGGACCTGGCTTACGGGCTTTGTATAGAGGCCTGGGCACTTGGACTAGGGTTTTGGGGTATGTTTTAGTGTGACTATATGCAGGAACCCTGAGAACTGGTCTTGGTATTTCCTCAGGTTGCTTTCACGCTTGAGATTCTATGAGGTGTTAGAAGAGTGTTCGTCAGGACTCAGCTGCACAGTCTAGGAATTTTTTTTGGGGTTTAAGGATTGGTTTGCATGTGGGCTTCAGCCAAGATGATTGAGGTTCGAGGTTGATAGACAAGATTGAGATTCGAGGTTTGGCTAGACGTGAGTCCAGTGGGAAAGTTAAGTTTAATGGTTCAGTTGCATGGGTCATCTATGTGGATCTTGATAGTTTTCCTCTGCGTTGATCCGGATTATGTAAGAGGCGCGGCAGTTCCTGTGGTGCCGTTTTTTTGGAGTCCCCTTTAGAGTCCCTGCTGCACATCGGCGTTCCGGTCCCCTTGTTACTTTTTTCAACCGGCCCATGAGTGAAACTACCTCCAACCAGATTCCAGTTTGTATACTGCTCATTGCGAAATCCGTACTTGAACTCGCAGGGGAGACGAGTCGAGTCATAAGTATCTCGTTGTAGTTTAATCTCACTATGTCCCCTGAGGTGTTTGCACCTTGTTACAATCACTTCCGGCGATTGCTCTAGACGGTCATTGTGCCAATGAGAGACCCTCCGAGACTTGTTGAGTTTACAGTAGCATCCTGACTCTGCCCGGCCAGAACTTCAGTCAACTGGCCTGGTTGGCTAAGTTTGTGGTGTGGAACCAAGGGAAGCACCATTCCCAACTTCTTAGGCAGCACTGACATGAGTCCCAAATCCGAAAATTTGAACACCATGGCAAACAAGAACTGTCAAGCCTAGAATTCCCAGAACACAAAACCCTAGATTCAAGACCCTAAAGCCTAAAGCCTAAAACCCTACACAGTGGTCAGGCGGGACCTCAGGCACGAAGTGCGTCTTCTTCCATCGTTTCCTTCGGCTCGGCTGCTGGGGTGCTTGCGCTGGGAGCCGCCGGCGCTTCGGCTGCTAGCCGGGCAAAGGTGACCCGGGGCGCCGTGCTGACGAAGGACGGGTTTAGGGCTCAAGGGTTTAAGGGAACTAAAGGGTGTAAGGGGCATAAACAATCAGTAGCCTCGTTCTTTGGGCGGCCTACTTTGTCCAGATTTATAGCATAGGGCGTTCGTTTGGGTTTGTAAGGGTGTGCACACAGGCCCAAGATCCCGAAACACAGCAGGAGTGCACCAAAAACCCGAAGCCCTCAAAATGTACAAGGCGGATAAAACACATTATAGGCTCCTCGAGAACCGGAAATATTGAAATTGTGAATCTGCGAGACTACTGCCGATGTCAAGCTGGCCGGCCGTGCAGAAGGCAAAAAGATCCTGAAACCCTAAACCCTGATAGACTCCTTGTGGGCACGACAAAATTCAGAAAGGTTCCGCCAAGGGTACTACGAAGATCCTGGAAGGGTACCATAAGGGTTCCTTCAAAGAAGGCTTTTCCTGAAACGAAGGACGATCAGGGCCGCTTCCCCTTCGGAGCAGCCTCTTACTCGGTGAGTTTGTACACTTTTTGAGGGCTTTGGGTTTAGAGTCTAAAGTTTAGGGAGTTTAGGATTTAGGGGTTTGTACTCTTTCGAGGTTTAGGAGTTACAGATATTTAGAGTTTACCCCGAAACCCTTGCACAACCGCTAACGAATCGCCTTATGGAACCTGGACCTTGTCCCTAAGCTTTCCATAATACGGTAAAAAATACGTTTTCTTTTGCTTTTACTTTAAAACGCGCAAAACCCCGAAACTCCCAAACTGAGCTCTAAATAGCCCTGAACTTCCAACCAACCCCCTAACCCCACTAAACACACACTAAACCCTAAGCCCTAAACCCCAAACCCTAAACCCTAGCAAGCCTCAGAGGCGAAATCGCAAAAACGAACAAAAACTGAAGCTGAAAGCTGCCCCCCCCCCCTTCTGATCTCAGGCCTGGTGCAGTGGCTCCCCTGGGCTTCTTGGGAGAAAAGACTTTATGGTGCTTAGGGTTTAGGGTTTAAGGTTTAGGGTTTAGGGTTTAGGGGTTTAGGGTTTAGGGTTTAAGCATTCAGGTGAAAGGGGTTATCTGTAGTGCTTTGGTGTTGAAGCACGGCTTAGGCAGGGGTTTACTTTTTGTGTTGAAGAGAGGGTAGGTTTTGGGGTAGTACCACCACTCTGGTGGTTCAGAGTCTGATTCTGGCTATGGGAAGCAGCTTGTTACTGGAACATCACTGCTATAGCAACGTCAGGAAGCCGAAGCCTTCAACCCTGAATCCACACAATATTCCACACCCCCCCTCCTCTCCAAAAAACCAAACCTACAAGTGCTCAGCCCCAAGAAACCTAGACCCGAAACGCCCCCAAAAGGCCCAAAAGCCTAAAGCCCGGAAAGCCTGAAGCCAAACCCCAACGGCGTTATACGAACCTAAGCTTCGGAGCCACGCCACTTGGAGGTTCATGGGTAGTTACAAGTGGGGTCTATGTAGGGTTCTTTGCAGGGTTCGAGAGGGTTTAGGGTCTAGGGTAGTTATAAGTGGGGGTACAAGTCCTCTAATATGGGTTATAACTATAGCTAGCCTACTTGTAACCCCACTTCCATGAAGTCACAAAAACCCTAAACCTTATTCAGGTAACCCTTTTCAGAGATCCTAAACCCTAAACCCTAAACCCCCTTACAAGAGATCCCTTTAAAGGAACCCTCCAAGTACTTCTGAGGCTTCTTCGACCCGCTGGGCTTCAGCAAAAGCGGATTGATGACCTTCCCAGGCAGGAGTTTTTGTATTTTTTTTCTCTGGCTTTTTCGGGTTTAGGGTTCTGGGTTTAGTCTAGGGTTTAGGGTTTTTGTCCTGCTTTCATGGGGTTTAGGGTTTGGGGTTTCTGCAGGGTTTAGGGCTTTCGTAGGGGTAAGTTAAGAAGTGTTATGGGTAGGTCTGGGGTTAGATTCAAAAGGGTCTTGCAACAGTCTTGCAAGATTCAACTTTCGATGTCTGAGTATTAGGGGTTTCAGAATTTGTACAGAATGTGTTGAGGAAGTCCTACTATAAAGTGGCATAGCTTTGCGGGGGCTATAAGGCTACACGCTTGGGTTTGTAGCACATCATGTTGAGTTTTGCACCTTACCTCCTTAAACCATAATTAATTCCACAAGTTGCCCGTGACGCTGCAAAAGCAAACACCTTCAGGTGACTCTTCGGGCTTCAATCACCTCCGAGCTGCGGAGATCAAGCAGAAAACTCAGTCTGATGCATCGGGCATCATGCTTTCTCAGTTCCCAAGGGATCCGATGAAGCCTGAAGGAGAATAGTGAGTGCAGGTCAGTACATGCCCACTTCGGGAACATGGGTATGGCATTGGCTTTTGCAGACTACGGTGGTTTCGGGGTCCTATGCGGGTTCTGTGTACATCCCAAACGCGGTTCCTAAGGCACGGCCGATTTGCCATGATGGCCGCGACGGGGTCCTTGTTTGCGTCGTTTGTGAAGCTCCCGGGATTTGAAGATGTGCCAACCGGATTGGCGGCCTTGAACACTACGAAGGGCCTGGAAGGTTTCTCTCTCCTTTTCTTCTTGATCGCGGGCCACGAGGCAGAGACAGCTACAACACCCCTAAATCCGGGCACACCCTTAATCGGAAGCCCTAAACCCTAGACCCCTAAACCCCTAAACCCTTTCAGGCCGTGACATGGAAGCCCGTGAAGGAGCCGGGAAGCTTTGGCGATCCCTTCAAGTGGAACCAGTTCACCTCGGAGATGCGCACGAAGGAGCTGAACAATGGGCGCATTGCTATGTCCCTTGGGCAAGAAGATGGCTGAGGGTTGTTGGTTTAGGATTTGTTGGATGGGCCTTTGGGATATTTCACATGTCGCTGTCTATGGGCGTATCTAGGGTTCTTACTTAGCATAGGCATAGGATGGCTCAAGGTTTCGAGTTCAAGGCATAAAGGGTACTTGGCTTTCGGGTTCAGGTTACGGCGTATATCACTTTGCAAGTAGGCAGAAGATGGACTTGAACCCGGAACCCATAAACCCTAAACCCCTGTAAACCCTAAACTAAACCCCATACTAAACCCACATTGTGGCTCAGAGAGCTGACGCTGCCATCCAAGGACCTGGTAGCCAAAACAGCCAAAATTCAAGATCATAAGGGCTCTATACTGGACACCTTGGGTGTATTTTCACTAGGTTCCTGAGTAGTACCCTTTTGCCCTTGTTATTTTGGGGGTCTCCTTATTAAAACCGAATACCAGGAAAAAGGGTACCCTTATTATTTAGAGGTCACTCAGGAACCTAGTGTTCATGTTACCCTGTCAGCAAGGTTTGCCATCATCGGACAAATCGCCGCCGAGCTCCAGACCGGGAAGGGCCCGGTGGAGCAGTTCACGGGCTGAGTCTGAGCTTTTTCTTTCCCTATAGAGGGCCCTTTAAGGGGCCCTTATCTCCGAGTCAAGGATCCTTATGGTTAGGCCAGAATGTAGTGCTGTTCTGGACTTGAGGGTTTAGGTGTTAGAGGGACTGCGATTTAGGGTTAGGACGTGTATCGGCTACCGACTATGTAGGGTTCTGGTGTTCGACTCTCTCTCTCTCTCTCTCTCTCTCTCTCGGGTTTAGGGCCTTAGGGCTCCGTATGCTGCACACCTTCAGGCGATTGCACAAGTCTTGATGATGCAAAATTAGGGTTTAGGGTTTAGGGCTCTCTCTCCCTCTCTCTCTCTCTCTCTGTCTCTCTCTCTCTCTCTCTCTCTCTGTCTCTAGAAGCCAGGAAGCTGGGTCCTGTCTCATAATTTTAATGATCGCCATTCCCCCTTGGCCTCAGCAGCATCTGCTTGGAGGATGGCAGTACACAAAAACGGCTATGTAAAGTAAGTGAAAGTATAGGAAAGCTCCCCTAGACGTAAACCCTAAGCTGGTTTTCAGTTCTTACGCATGGTGTGGGATGTTTGCGGCCTGCTATACAGGCGTCGGGGGTCACAGTAGTATTCTAGGTCAGAGACTCGGCGCTTTGTCGAAACTGGGGAAGTGGGAGGTAGCGTGTGATTCTACTGTCATCCTTAAGCCCTAAATCCTGAACCTAAACCCATCTAAACCCAAAGCGTCATCGATTCGTTTCGCCCCTGATCCTGCAAGTGATGCTTCTGGCCTCTCCAGTGTAGGCTTTTTGACCAAATTCACCTCGCGAACGCGGAGAAAAGCAACACCGGCGATCCCCTCGAAGTGGTTTCTTCTTGCCGGGCCTCGGGAGCGACGTTTAGGGAGAGTGAGTGTGAGAGAGAGAGAGCCATAAACTCTAAAACCCTAAACCCCTAAACACAAAAACCCCTAAACCCCTAAACCGAGCCTGAAATCTCTGACGGATAAAGCCGTATGCAAATTACCAGCCCTCAGAGCAGACTCAGCATTAATCCTGCTGCAGCCACCCCGACTCCCTCCAAGAAACCCGCTGACACAACTCAGGGCCCCTTGCCCGGTCGCAGATGCTAATAGAAAGACGACACCCCGAAGCTCCCGAGACCCGAAATCCGAACTCCTAGAAACCCAAAGACGCAACACTCCAAGTCCTTAGCCAGTCGCCCCTCCTAAACCCTAAATCCCCCCGAATCCCCCGGCCCGCATTAGACCCTAAACCCTAATTAAACCCTAAACCTGAATCCAAACGCAGGTCGTGAACTCCGAGGGGGAGATCAGACACCTGCGACCCGGCTGCGATTTTTGCAAGCCTCGATCTGCGCCGCAGATACAGTTTCGGGTTTGGGGTTAAGCGTTTAAGAATGCTTCTTTGGGGTATATATGACCGTATGGTGATATCAAGGAGCTGTATTATTGGCAATTTTTGATATTTATATTGGTCCCTGCACTATACCAATGAAGCTACCGTTTTTGGGTTGCCTTATGGGATCCTTTGTATAAGATTGGTTAAGCCATACAAGGAACTACAATGGAGACTACAGGTAGGGCTGAACCCAAACCTCTATGTCCTATACGTTCGAAGGTGTGGGGCCTATAGAATTTGATGTTCTCCTGATGTGTTGGAGCTTTCTGGGTTGAGGCTTATGGTTATGTGCAGAGAGTTATGTTAGGGCTTTGGCCGCATTCAATAAACCTTAAATCTTAAACCCTATGTTAATTGAGCTGCATCCTCTAATGCTCTTATGGAACCTCGCTTGTGAGCATAGTCCTTTACCATGCGAGGGGGAGAACACCCTATGGTTTCGAAACGAACGATCCCCTGGCGCTCCAGGGCTGATGCATGCTTGGGCGGCTAGGTTTGTTGGCGGTCCTGGTTATGGCCGACATATCAAGAACCCGGAGGAACAGAACTGCACCCATACGGTTGATGATATGAATCCTGCATTACCCATAATAAGGAATATACCATAACTCCCATAGTTTACGGCCCTTAAGGAAATGCAGGACTTATATCGTCAACAGTAGGAAGGGACATACCGCGTCATTCTCATAGTCTAGGGCCTCGAGGCATGTCAAACAAAAGCAAGCACAGCAACCATGAACTGGTAGTCATGAACTACGCAATGTAATGTCAACACCTTCTCAACCAAACAAAATCTACAAGATACGAAAACACCCAATGCAGTCTTGTTCCAAACTAGATGGTTCCTAAGGCATCACCCTAAACCCTCCACCCAAGATTTCTTTCCTCGACCCTTTTTGAACAAGACTTGAACACCAAGGCTTGGCCTACGAGATTTCACGGACTCCTCCTCCCTGTCACTCAGAGACGAAGGATGGCCTTTGTGTTGATCTGTTTATTGGGAGTGGTGTGTGTTGGGGTGGGGTAGGGTGGGGTGGGTGGCGGGGTGTTGGTAGGGCTGTAGATGATCTATGTGCATTTACTCACACACACACACACATATATATATGTATCTCTGTGTGTGTGTATATATAGATACATGGATAGATAGATACAGATCGGTAGAAACAACTAGATGGGCACGTAGACTGGCAATTAGTGGTTCGAATAATTATTGATTAGACTAGTTGGGTTAGTGAGGTTGGATACATGAGGGGGCCAGACAGATGGACAGATAGATAGTTTGATAGTTGGCTTCGGGCGCTGTAGGTTGAACAAGACTGGGTTTTAGTAGAGCTTGTTGTCAGAATTGCTATAGGGTTTTGAATGAAGGCATAGGGTCTAGATATGTCTAGATATTTCAGGGTGTCGTGTTTGATTGATTTGGAGGTAGGTGAGGTCGTTCTATGGATTTGACAAGGGCAACAATAGGTTGCTCGGGAGTTTTATTGTGGTTCAGCTGAAAGTGGAAACCGTTGTAAGGTGTCGGTCTTCGGCTTTTTTTTTGTTTTTCTTTTGTGGCACTGCTGTATTCCGATTTGTTATGAGCATGGCCACCATTGGATGTATGCCGCTATTCTTGATGCGTTGCTACCGGGGATTGGGATTAAGCCAAGGGTGAGCATGGATGCAGTGTCGAGGACAGTTAAGGTGGTGATAGTGACGACCATGAAGATGGGAGTGTAGATGGGGAGCCTCGGCGGTGATTCTCATCATGATCTAGTGCCTTTGTGCCTTGCCGTCAACTTAATCATGGGTCCCTTGGTTGTTGACGAAGCAAGAAGGTTGTGCTTGTTTCGATGCTCACGTCGATGATGTTGCTGATAGTAGAGACGATAGTGATGAAGACGGCGGGGATGTGGCGGAGGTTGCGGGGACGGGGATCATGACACAGATGACATTCACGGATATCAGCGGCGATGTTGAATATGTGTCAGTTGTTGACAATGGCGACAACGACAACGACGACGACTTGGTGGTTGTGGGGAGTGGCGAGGATGGTGGTCGTGGTGGTGGTGGTGGTGGTGGTGGTGGTGGTGATGGTGATGGTGGTGGTGGCGGTGGCGGCGGTGGTGGTGGCGGCTGTGGCGGCGGCGGGTTGTTGTGACGAGGTTGATGTTTTGGCGGTTGTTGCTCTTGCTGTTGCTGTTGCTACTCTGGTGTTGCGGGATGGTGCTGTTGATTTTCAAGAGTTATCGTTATGGGCGGTGGCAGCACGGATTCTGGCACAAGTACTGCAATCGGCCACCTTGTCCAGGATACTCAACGGCCAAAGGGATTCAGGCTCTTGCCCGTAGCGAAATGCTCGCTGTTTAAAGAGTACAGAGCGGACTTCTTCCTCACATACACCATTTGAGTCCACGTTGTGGCTGGCCAGGCGGTTACATAAGGGCGGCTTCCTTGATTCAGGTCAAGGAAGACTCCTAGCTGCGCTGCCTGCCACATACGAGAGAGACTGCAGGCACTAACATGCCCTAGGTGCTATCTTTTACAATGGTGGTCGACTCGATGTCCCAAACCTAGAGCACCATGCAGCAGTCCGACCCTCACAACTACAGGTCGGGTGAGCGGGCCACAGACGCGATGGATACGTCCGGCCCGACGAGTCCCGCACCTTGTCTCATCGTGAGTTCAAGTCAGCCGTGATGTCCTGTGGGTTCCTGGGGGCATTGTTCTAGCAATACTAAATATGCAGGACTCAACGCTTAGAACAGCGCTTTGGGTTCTTCATAGTATAATGATAATGCCCCCCATGCGCTGAATCCTTGTGCGAGTGGTGAGAGCGTAAAGCCTAACCCCGAATCGCCAGCGTTACTACTTGCATTGCGATGCTTGCCAGCTGAACCTGGCAGATGGCAGCTGCTGAGCGGCGCTGCTAGGTCCTGGTCGTCGTAGTAGTGGTGGTGGTAGTAGTAGTAGAAGTAGAAGTAG